GGGTGGGGCTTGAGGTGGGAGGAGGGGATAGGTGGGAGGAAGGACAGGCTAGGGAGGCGGGGACGAGCTGGGCTGGTTTTGGGATGTGGTAGGGGGAGGGGAGATTTTGAAGCTTGTGAAGTCCACATTGATACCATTGGGCTGCAGGGTTCCCAAGCGGAATATGAGTTGCTGTTCCTGCAACCTTCGGGTAGCGTCGTTGTGGCTGTAGGTTGCTATGTTACAAGGAGGAACTAATAAATGTCATGCACTGGCTTCAGCTGAAGTATGTAATTTGAAAAAAGTTGACTCATTTTATTGTTTCATTCTGTTTTCAGTGCACATAGCCAAATTTACATTTACTGCAGATCAACAAGGTTTAAGTTGTCCACTTACAGTTTTCAGTAGATTACAGTGTTTATGACTGCAAATGTTGTTGTATTTTTTGTTATTGTGGTTTGCTTCTGTTGATGTGGTTAATTCAGTAGGTTTAGAACGACATTCCGTACTCAGGTTCTAAGATAACTTCCCTTAGCCACAGACAGCACATCTCTTTTATAGCTGCTGCAGGATTCCCATTGTAAGAGGCCCACAATCAACCTCCATCTCCACCCCCACCATGGCAATTTTAATCTGAGTATCTGTCTGGCTAATTAAGAGTGTTCAACATGACAAAATTCGGCTCTTGTTGGTTTGTGAGGGTCACCAAGCAGCTCGTTTTTTTGAACAATTCATGTAAAAATAGCCTTTCATCAAGATGGGGAGCTATCTTTTACTGTTTTTAATATTGCCTGAACTAGCTAATTACACTTGCCCTCCTCTGATCTTTTGGAGCACAGAGATTTCAACATATAAATATAATCAGATCATTAGCATGCTCCCCACGGAACCAATGCCGTTTTTAGTCCTGTGTTCAAAGAGCTCTGATGACACCAAAAGTCTTGGAATAAAGGCTCATATATTGAATTGGGAAAGCTGGCAGCCATATTGACCTTAGTCAGTGCCTTACTTACAGCCTGAAACAATAACAGTCAGTGATATCAAGTGTATCTTCTAACTAAACAACAATGACTTTGGACCTGGTTTGTTGTGTGTTGTCTACCATTACTATTAGGGTATGGAAATCTTGCTAAATAGCAACCTATGCATGCAGAATTTTTGTGATAGTTCTGTTGCTCCTTTTCTCAGTAAATGTATATCCATCACATCCTCATTAAAGTTCAACTCAATGGGAATTGCAATTTTCTAGACTGATTGCATGGGAATGAATTACGGCAATTACCTTTGGTCAGACTGTAGCATTCAATCAGCAATGAAGATTCAGACTATTTGTTTATTATAAAACAGATGTTAGTGAAAGTATTTCTGATTTTCCTAAAAGATTTTGCTATTGTAAATCCATGACACGATGTAGGTTCCTCAGTTTATATGCATCCCCGTCTTTTCTCCATATTCTTAGAATCATAGAATCATACAATCCCTACAGAATGGAAGCAGGCCATTCAGACCATTGAGTCCACACTGACCTTCTGAAAAGCATCCCATCCAGACTCACGCTCCCTACCTTATCCCTGTAACTCAGCATTTTCCATGGCTAATCCAATTAGCCTGCACATCCCTGGACACTATGGGCAATTTATCATGGCCAATACCCCCAACCTGCACATCTTTGGCTCTTTCCCTTCTTCAAAATTGTGTACCACACAACTAACACAAAACTTCCCACTTACATATCTGAACTTACAAAAATGGTAATTACATCAATTGTCCTGGCAGTAGCTTTAGGCCTATTTCAAAATAAATGTAAATGACATATATTTCTGACAATGTCTTTCTTGTTAACTTCAGTTATAGTTGTTTAAATGCCTGTGCCCCAAAAAAATCGGAGACACACGGGTATAATTTGATAGTTAAGGCAACATCAGGAATGTTATATGAACAAATTTTCTTTGGTGTAAATTGCTTTGCAGCTGCCTAGTTCTACGCATCTCAGAACAACACAAAAGTTTTATTATGCACATCAATTGTACACTACATTACTTAGAACAATACACCCATTGCTGTTTTAAGAAGCTTTTGGAAGATTTTCACAAAGAATGCAGAATGACATAGTTGTTGCACACTTCAGATTGCCATCAGCAATAACATATCACCATAATTGGTAAACATAACTATTCCACATTGTGGAGGGAGGTTGGGGTTGATCAAGGCAGCAGATGCATTGGAAAGGATTCAACAAAGAGCATTGAAACTACAGCTAGTTCTTAAGTGAACATGAAGAATAGGTAAGGCAGATAAATCTGAATCTTATAGACAAAACCGTTGGTCACATAATCAAGTGGAGGTTGTTTGAAGGAAATTTCAACGAAGAACAAGTTACTACTTTACAACTATTGGTCGTGTTCATTGAGATTCTGCTAAAGTGTTCAAAATGTTTGACATTATTTCTAGGTCTTCCATTACCATATAAGTGCACAGAGTTTACTGCTGCTGATATTGATTGATAAACACAACACAACACAATCACATCCTAATCTTCTGGTCAATGATCTTCAGGAGAGGCAACACATTCTGAATGGCATAATTTTAAAGGGGAATAGAGCAGAGAAATTTGAGGAGGAGTGGGGGATGGACTTCAGAAATCTTTGAAGTTGAGAAGGTTGTTAAAAATCATACAAGATTTTTGTCTTTATGAGCAAGAAAGTTATGCTGAATCACTCCAAATCACCAGTTGGGAGCATTGTGGCCATTTTAGGACACTGTACCTTAGAGATGTCAGGGCATTAGAAAGGGTGCAGAGAAGGTTTTCTAGAATGTCACAAGAGTTACAAGAATTCTGTTACGTGGAGAGACGACAGAAGCTATGACTGTTCTTTATACAGCTGAGACAGTTGTGGCAACATATATAATGTGGAAGTAGAACAGTTAAAAAAATTTGCCATTTCTTTAAAATGTTTGAGGAATTGGCAGCTGTTTTCAAGAATGTTTGGAAAGGGTTTTTAAGATTTTGCATCAGTTGTAAAGGAATCAATTGTAATTTTCTTGGATAATAAGAAATACTAGTTCATATGACTTGGCAATTTTTGATCTGAAAATGGTATAAACAAATAGGAGGTTAAGAAAGCTATATGGTTATACACAGAGGAGAGCTATTAGCAGGAGAGATTGAGGGTGAAGGCAATCAGTGATGCGGACACAAAAAGAAAAATAGACAGAGACAGATTGGAGGACATATAATTTTAGAGAAGCCAGCAAGCTCAGAAACAAGCTTGGATTTCTGTTTGGCTAAAAGATTAACAATAGAATTCCAGATGCTCTTGCAGAAGCTGATATATAGGTGAACTAAAACGGATTGAATTCTAAATTGAGATGTATAAAGCTTAGGCATGAAAATAAGATGAGAGTTTCTATCAGAGTATCAGATCATGAACTGGGTATTGTTGTTGGTTATTTGAAATGGAACTCCAGAGAGTTAGGCTATCAAGACTGGTGTGATCCAAGAGAACATGAGATAATGTCAGTAAACCTGTACCTTATAGGTGCTAAATGTAGCCAGGGACTGAAGAGGTTTGAAGGCTGAATCGATTGAGATAGAATGATTGTGAGATTAAACGTCATGTCACATTTGTGCAGGGAGTGATGCAGGCACTTGTGATTTTGTAACGTCTATCTGTGCTCTATTGACTAAATAAAATTAAGTTTACCTTTTATTTGAAATATAATTTTCCCTTAATTCACATTTAGTTTGACTTTGATTTGTGTTTAACATTCAAGTTACACAGGGTGAAAACTTGTTGCAAATTGCAGGGGAGGTTATTAATTATTTTAGCTTAGGGCTTCCCACAGGGATTGTAACAATGTTAAAGGGAGCTTTGATAGCATAGATACAGAATAAGTAGGTGACATGGATTTGTGGATAATGGATAAAAGATTGATTTGAAGGTCCTAGTGGTGTAGTGGTAATGTCCCTACTTCTGAGCCAGGAGGACCAGGTTTGAGTCCCACCTGCTCTAGAAGTATGTCATGGCATGTCTGGACAGATATATTTTAAAATAAAAGATTGGTTTCTTTGATGTGAAATGCACTGTTGGGAAGTGCACTGGAATCAGATTCAACAATAACTTTTGAAAGGCAAATAAATACTTAAAGTGGCAAAATTTGCAAGGATATGGGGAAAAAGCAGGAACTAATTGGATAACTCTCTCAAAAAGGCTTACCTAGGCACAGCGGCCAATGGCATTCTTCACTGGTTCAATTGGCCGATTATCCATCGACCCACGATCTTATGACTACTGGGGCAATAAATGGATAAGTTACAAATGTGCCATGTTCCTGTAAGGAAATCTCCAATGATACAGCTGACATATATTAGTAATATTACATCAAGAACAGCACTCAACCATAAGATCACATGGTCTAGTATTTTGTTTAACACAACAGTGATACCCAAAGGATTCCATTATTTATTATATAACAGAACCATGGAGAATTGGTACGAGTTGACAATCTAATTCGACTGATCTTATTCTTTGTTGTAACTGCCACCACCATCTCCAGCTGCACAGTTACTTCAGAAAGGGTCTGTTTGCTGCACAAAGATGATATTCACAGGCCAGTAATCAGAGGTAAAGTATAATGTGAAAACCAAGTGAAACTCATAGCAGTAAGAAAACAAAGAAAGTGTGTGTGTGTGATCTGATCAGGGACATGGCCAACATAGTGTACGTTTTGTTTAATTTGAGAAGCAACGTTAGATTGTTATGTGATATATTGTCCACTATTTTTCTTACAAGAAAAAAAACAATTGTTTAAGATAGTTTGCAGTACTCCACCTGAGATTCAATAAAAAAATTATATAACTAGTTACTGTTGGAAATCCAACATATTTATATTTGGGTATATATCCTTGTGGTTCCGGGATTTTAAGCAATAGTAGATTATATCGTTGGACAAGCTTTCTGTGGTTCCATTTTAAATCGAGATTCCAGGTGAAAGGTTGATGGTGAAAGGTGAAAGTGAGGGGACGCATTCGACCAGGAAGTTTCAGAAAGAGCAGTTATTCAGTGGAGATCACCTGCACAAGCAGGGAGCTGTAGGAAGAGACCTGGTTGGATTTTGTGAACACGGCGGTGTAAAAATAACACATACCGAAAGCTCTTTTACTCCTAGGGACTAGAGGTGGGCGGAGTCAGGACCTGTTGACTGCAGGGTTACCTGAAGCAAGTCAACAGCACGAACAGGCAGCGTGCACAAGGTCCTGTGGGGGCATATAAAACCACCGTGGGTGAGAAGGATTTACTCCAGATGGTGATCGTTTACCAGCCGGCCACTCCCCAGAATGAAGGCTTACGGGGATGAGTTACCTGCTGCGTGACCGGAGTAACTGATCTGATAGGAAAGCTGGAAATTAAACACCTTTATACCTGTGAGAGGCTGCAAATGATCAGGGCACTGTAAAACAGGAAGCATATCCATCCAAACTGTACCTTGATTACAGCAGAACGAAGATCTGCGCCTCAAGAACAAAGAGACTTTGCACAGTCAATTGATTCTGGTGATGAACCTCAAATACACCGTGGAAGTGGAGTGAGTACATTTAAATCTATTTGTGCCGGATACGTATGAATTATATCCCTGAGTGAAACCGTTCCTTTGCTGCACACCAGGGCTGTACTGAACTGGCTGTTTGATAGTTAACTCCACATGAGATATTAACCCTATACTGAGACATGCATCCAACTTGAAATTCAGACTCCACCTCCATCCAGTTATTTTGTGATCGACAAAATATTAAGTCTGCGATAGATTTGACCCTAGGGGCAAACTACAGAGGGTACACCAAGCAGCTTCAATCAATAACCTGGGAGTTTCATTTCATCCACAGTGTTTCTCCTGGAAAACTTTCAGACTCAGAAAATCACGAGAGCTTTCCTGAACTGCAATCTGAGAGACGGGAAGCAAACAACGGCAGTATTGAAAGAAGCAAAGCAGAGATAAACATACAAGGAAACGTGTTATGTGCCACTGGCTGACCTTAGAGGATAACGGTTTATGTTACTCAACAGTGAGTTCCTGAAGCTTTGCAATATCAAGCACCTTTGCCTCTCAAACTAACAAAATAATAGTTTCAGATCTCCAGCATCCACGACTGTTTTTAAATAATATTTGAACCATGTGTCCAGGACTGTTTTATTCCGAGGTCCTGAGGAATGCTTGAGGACCCTGAATGTGAAAGATTACGCTGAAATCCTTCCATGATATGATTGGGATTTAGGATGTCTACAGCAAATTGAAGACCTTACCTGAGTGTAAAGTATGAAATTCCTGCCATTTCTGCCGTCCTACATCTAAGATTTAAAAAGCCTGTCTCATGCTTACGTGACTTAACTGTGTGCATCTAAACAACATTGAAGGTTTCTGTTATAGGATTAATCTTTTTACAGGACTCCTTGAGATGTATGTTTTGCACATTTAATGTTTTACATTGTTGAAGCTTGACTTCCTTTCTTTTTCTTATGGCTATTTGTGGGACAATTCTACCAAATGCCTGAACTTTCTGAGATCATGTCTGGCAATTTCCCAGCAAGTCGTTCCCGGATCCAGCAGAGTATCCTGGAGGATCAGGTGGAATTATGGTGGTTCCAAGATCTTAAACGATCAATCCTGTGCTATTCTGTGGCTGTGATCCTGATCCTAGGAACTGGGTTGGGAGGAATTGTTCTATTATCTACGGCTACTAGTAAATCGAGTGAATGGAGGCTGGGAGTAGGGACTGTCCTGTGTCTTTTGGCTCTCTGCATCCTTTTAAAACAACTGATGAGCTCTGCTATCCAGGACATGAATTGCATGAGGAACCGATCACAGATTGACAAGTTAAGGAGTGGAGGCTTAATTGATTATTTGATTATTTTAGTTGCTGGAGTAATAATACTAGTCTGTGGCCATGCATTGATAATCCTAGCAAATTCTGATCCTTATCCTTCGGGTAGATCCTGGAGTGACATGTTAATTGCAGGTGTTGCCATTACATTAGCTGGATACATTATTCTCCTCTCACTCCTGGTCTACAGTTTAATCTTCAAATTCTGCCCCCATATAGCTGCCAGCTCCCTGAACAGAGGGGTGCCAAGTGTTTATGTGATATCATCAGGCAATGCAGAGAGGAGGCCAAGGGAATTTTCCTCCAGTACAGCCAATCTAATATAAAACCAGCACTGACTGACTTCACCAGGAACCAAAAGTTGCTCAGACTCTGAGATGACTAATCAGGCTGGGCTTGTTTGGTGCACAGGTCATGGTGAAAACAGAAGAAACTCATAGGATAACTGCACAAACAGTCCTTCACAATAGTAATTAATGCAGGCCAGTATAGATTGTGATTCATTGAAGCCTAATTTGTAACTCTAATTTATAAATCTTCACATTTAACAATTATCGTTAGCTGAAAAGATGAAATTAGAATGAAATTAACATGAAACCTGTATTGTAAAGGTTATATCTACAGATATAACTCATTGGTGAATGAATAACTATTGCAAATTATTGTTACCTCACAACTGTAGCTGTTATGAGTGGTACTCACATTGCAAAAGCACTTTACAGAGTGAATCAATACTAATGGAAACACAAGCACATTTTTCTACTACTGTCAGTAATATCAGTCACTGTTTTACTGCTGATAATAAATGCAATCGTTAAATACTTAAGAGTGGAATGAGTCCGTCTCTTCTTCTAGTAATTTGTGAATTGTCATCTAATCTGTTTTGACTTCACATAACCACATTCATTCAATGATTCTGTAACTGTTATATTGTTCACTGGTTTGATAAAGAAAGGTAATTTTGGTCATTTGTTATTTGCTTTACTGGTAACTGTGTTCCTGAAATGAGATATTACGCTAATGTTTGTTGATACGCAGCTAAGTTGCTACAGCACTCAATTTTTTTGGTAATGTTTTATTTAGAGTGAAATATCAATTGTTGCTTTAGTTAACATTTTACTGGGGTGTTCTATGTTCAGCATTTTCATTAACATATTGGTCGAGTGTTATATTGTTCACTATTTTTGTTGGTGTTGCAAGGGTGCTCTTTGACAGTATGTTTGCAGAGTCACATGTACTTTATTAGAATCATAGTGTCATTACAACACAACAAACCCTTAACACTCTGTAGAGCAACCCGATCAGTCCCACTCCCCATTCTCTCCTGGTGTCTGTGCAAGGTTATTTTCCTCATACCACTGGTCAATCCTTTGGCACCTCCCCTCCTATCAAGGGAACATTAGACGATTATGGCAAGTTTTTTTCCACTCCCAAATCCTTTACTGACCATCCAGATTTATCCACTCAAAGCAAACCCATCTCTTCAAGTACGTCCTTCCAATTAATTTTCACCCCTCTGTGATCTCTGCTGTCTCCAGTTCCACTGATCTGTTGCCAGTCTCCTCTTCCTTGGTAAATATAGATACAAAGTACCCATTAAGTAGTTTTGCCTTGCCCTGCACGTCTAAAAATAATTACTTTCTTTGTCCCTAATAGAATCCACCCTGTATCACATCCCATTTACCATTTATATATCAGTAGTTTTTTTTTGGTTTCCTTTTAATGTTGAACATTATTCTTGTATTCTCTCTGCTGGTATTACTTTTCACTTCACTTCCCCTGTCACCCTATTGTATTTGGCCTCGTTCTTGTTTGAAAAATTCACCTGATGTGCTCCATATTACCCTTTTTTCTGGTGCTTCATCATCATAATCTACTTCCCTTGTCATCCAATGAGCCCTGGCTTAGGATCCCTTACTTCTCACCCTTGCTAGAACTTTGTGAGCCTGTAGCTGATACATCTACTCCTTAACATTTATCCACTGTTTGATTAAAGGTTTTTCCCATCAATCTCTGATTCCATTTTACTCTGATTAGATCCCCTTTTATCTCATTAAAGTCAGTGTTCTTCCAGTTTAGATGTTCTACTTCAGATTATTCCTTGTTTTCTCCATTTCTAATCCAGAACTTATGATATAACGACTGCCGTTAACCGAGTGTTTTCCCAAAGGCACTTGGTCCAGTTGACCCATCTCATTGCACAGCACTAGATCCAGTGATGTCCCCTGCTCAGTTGGACCTTGAAAATATCCGTCAAGGAAATTCTCCTTAAATTCTTCCTCCTTCTTACCCTTTGTGCTACTATTATTCCAAATGATATTTGGAAAGTTGAAATCCTCTGAAATCATCATATGTAGTCTCATTATTAGATCTCTGTAATTTCTCCTTCTGTGTCGCTATTTGGAGGTCAAAAGAATTCCGTCAGAAGTGGAATTATCCCCTTTTCTTCTGCTTCTGAACTGTAACTAAATGAATGTAGCTTTTGCTCCCTCAAGACATCCTCTTTTTTTCAATCCTCAATGTTTTCTCTATACCGTAACCCTGCCTCCCTTTTCTGGATATTTGTATTCTATAGTATTAAATGCTCAGTCCTTCCATATCTCACTAAAATTAATCACCACACTTTGCATTCCACTTAATCCTTCTTAGTTTATTCTTATCTGAAATATATTACTTCCTTTTGTGGTACTATCCAAAACTTTTACTACTTTATCCATGTTATTTCTCGTTTCTACTTTGATGTAAATCCCCAATTTAGTTTAATCCTTTCCCAACCAAACTAACTAACCTTGCTGCAAGTACATTAATTCCAATTCTTTTGAGGTGTAACCCATAACCTTTGAATAGTCTGCTCCAGAACTGGTTCCAATGTGCCAATGAATATGAAGCTTTCCCTCCTGAACAACACACCAAGTGACACATTGATTTCCTCCCACCCCTTATCTTTCTAATTCTTGTCCCACTCATGCTTGGCACAGATTATTACCTCTTGAGGTCCTATTTTAATCTTCAGCACTAGCCCCCTTCTGAATAGTCTGGACCTTCTCTGTGAAGTCTTTTACCCTGGCACCAGAGAGTTAGCACATCAGGTAGAGGCTCACAATTTTTTTTTGTTCATTCACAGGATGAGGGCATCACATTTTGGCAGCATTTATTGCCCATTCCAGTTGCCCAAAGGGCAGTTGAGAGTCAACCACATTGCTGTGGGTCTAGAGTCACATGTAGGCCAAACCAGGTAAGGATAGCAGTTTCCTTCCTTAAAGGACATTAGTGAACCAGATGGGTTTTTTCTCCTGACAATCAGCAATGGATTCACGTTTATCACTAGATGCTTAATTCCGGATTTCTTTTTGGAATTCAAATTCCACCATCTGCTGTGACGGGATTCGAACCTCGAATGTTATCTGGGTCTCTGGATTAGCAGTCCAGCGATAGTATCACTAGGCCATTTCAGAAAGGGAGGCAGAGTTTGCTGTCTTGCCAATAGGGAGAATGGAGCAATAGGTGGGTGTCTGATGATCTCTGCTGCCTGCATTAAAAAGACAGCAGCAGTCAAAGCAATTAAATTTGGAAAAAAAAAATCAGACAGGTGTTTAGTTCACCTTTTTTCTCTGTAAACCCATAAACTCTTTTAAACAAAGAGCTGGAAAGTTAAAACTTTCGACAGTAACCCTATCGTAACTGCCTGTCTATTCCTGTAATAGTGAAATCTCCCATTACAACTGTATTTCTATGGTTTATTGTTGCCTCCCTTTTCCCGTTGGTTCCATAGGTTGAACTACAGTCCTTCCAGGTGTCATCATCCTGAGCATCATTCCAAGTGGTGTCCAAAGTTGAGTACCAATTTAGGAGTGGCATACACCCAAAGACTTATGCACTTCTGTTTCTTCCTACTTTTCTAGGTGGCCATCCACCTATTATCTTGGAACACCCTCTGCTTTTGAAGTGACCACATCTTGAAACATATGATCCAATAAGCTCTCATTCAGCCTGATATTCTACAGTGATTCCAGCTGCCATTGGTGATACTTCCCCCACACATCGTTCTCCAAATCACATGACGTGTCCTAAAATTTACAGATGATACAAAAATTACAAGTAATAGGTCTCATCTACCTATCTATGATCCAACAGGTCTCATTCCCTTTTTCAGAATTTAGTGAGTACCTTGTCCAAACCAAAACATTTAGCTCATTCTTTTAGACTAATCTGTTTTAATACTCTGATTAATTCACTCACTTTTATACCTCCTGTTGAAAGTTTTAACTTTCCAGCTGAGTGTACAGATTTACAGAGATAAAGGTGAACCGAACATTTGTCTTTGTTTTTCCAAATTTGATTGCTTTGACTGCTGCTGTTTTGTTGTGCAGTAAAACACAGGCAGCAGAGATCATCAGACACTCACCCATTCCTCCATTCACCCTATTGGCAAGAGAGCAAACTCTTCATTATCCAACTGTCAGTGAAGTACACCATCTCCAATAATTTTGAGTATTTTCATCAATTTGTTATAAGGAAAATGAGGAAATGGCCTCGAAGATATTACTCCTGTGTTGCTTGCAATAGTGTCCTGGTAGTCTGAGAGAGTACAAACCTGAATGATCAGCAACCCAACTGTGGGGCAGGACGGTGGCAGAGTGGTTGACACCGCGTCGGAGATGTGGGTCGAATTTCGGTCTTGACTGACTATCAATCTGGGTAGAGTTTGCATGTTCTCCCTGTGAGTGCATGGCTTTCCCCTGAGTGCTCCAGTTTCCTCCCACAGTCCAAAGGTTAGGTGGATTGGCCATGCTAAATTATCTGTACTGTCCAGAGATGCGCAGGCTAGGTGGATTAGCCATGGTAAATTTAGGGATGGGATGGGTCTGGTGTAGACTTGATGGGCTGAATGGCCTCTACCTGCACTGCAGGGATTCTATGATTCTATTGTCAATAGATTTCTCTCTGACAAATGGGTTTCTAGTATACTTCATTTATTTTGAAAATTGGATAACCTCAGTCAAGGCAAGTTACTAAATGGGGAGGAGTTTACAATTATTATTTCAGCATCACCATCTAGGGGAAAATTAAGGATTAACTTTTCATTTGTAATAACTATCTATAGAATTTACAATACAAAGTATTTACAGCACAGAAACAGTCCATTAGCTCAATTGGTCTATGCTAGTGTTCATACTGAATATGAGGCTCCTCCTATCCTCTTCATCTAACTGTATCAATAGCTTTTAGAGATTTAAGTCTATAAGATGATAAGACATAGGAGCAGAAATTAGGCCATTTGGCCCATCGAGTCTGGTCCACCACTCAATCATGGCTGATAAGTTTCTCAATCCCATTCTCACACTTTCTCCCGTAATCTTTGATCCCCTTAACAATCAAGAACCTATCCATTTCAGTCTTAAAAATATACTCAATGACCTTTGCCAAATCCTTAAAGATTTGTAGCTCGGATTGTGGGTGAGGTTGTTGATTTAGAATTTATACTGTCCAGTCCATTATGTATGACCAGTCCAGACAGTATAAATTCCAAGTGGAGCAGAACAACATCGCTTCATCGGAGGTCTCACTGATGATGTTACCTAACATGGTGATGAAACATCTAAATGAAAACAAGCCAGCTTGGTGAGCAAGTCAACAACCTCACTCAATGACCTGGCCTCCACAGCCTTCTGTGCCAATGAATTCCATATACTAGAATTCCACTGTCTGGTTGAAGAAGTTTCTCTTCATCTCTGTTCTAAAGGGTCTTCCCTTTAGTATAAGGCTGTGCCCTCAGCTCCTAGTCTCTCCTGCTAATGGAAACATCTTCGCAACGTCCACTCTGTC